AGAGAAGAGAGGTGGGTCAGTGAGAAGATCTGTCCCTTTTGAAGTCATCCAAAGGGTGGGGAAAATTGGAAAACTACTGTTGTTGTTTGTTTATTATTTCTTTAGTTATAATATGATAGTGCCCAATCGGCCCATTAGCCTTAGGAACCATGTTGTGTTAAGGACTGCACAAAGACATGTGAAGATATGGTCAATGCCTTGAGGAGTCTGCAGTCTAAATAAGTATGTTGGAGCCCTGTTCATCTTCACCTTTGTTCCATGATTGCAATGAAGATGTTGATGCTTGCCATTCTATCTAGGTACTCTCCCAAAATGTGTGAACTGTCCTTTGTTCACGGGATACCTTCTCTTATACATTATTACTATTATTATATAACATTATTTATTTTATTAATTGAGCCCAGTCAGCATGCTAAGCACTGTATAGAACATAGAGGAGGCAAGGTCCCTGCTCCAGAGAGCTTACAGTATAATGAGACTAACACATTTTTACCGTGTGTGTATAATTATATTTTTGTCAGGAAGTCTTGGATCAATATGTCATTTCTTGGATGCCCTATATGAGCTGTCTCCTTGGGTTATTCACTTGTCCCTCCTCTCTCTCTCGTCTGTCTGTCTGTCTGTCTGTCTGTCTGTCTGTCTTCCTTCTCTTTGCCTTTAAGTTGTTCCTGGTAGACATTCTGCACCTGCTTCCCTAATCTGGACTGCTCTTGTTAATCATTTCATTATTATTAATGTTTTGTTATTTGTATTGTTGTAGTGTCTAGGCATCCCAATCAGGGCTGCATTGTGCTAGGTGCCGCTCATGTATGCGATGAAAAGACAGTTCCTGTCCCAAAGAGCTTTGTTGTGGCCACCTCCAGGATAAAGCCAGATATCAAGAGGTTAAAGTGCTGTTTATACGTACAGCATTCTCTAAACAAACAGAAAAAAATTGTGTGCATTTATCTCTGATTAAAATCTTATATAAAAATATTGTATACAGGTTTGGCCTTTGGACCTGGTTAGTGGCCTTTGGACCTTCTGTGATGCAAAGATTATGCAACAGGGACCTAATGAATTTAACATTTTGGTGTTTCGCAATAGTCAGCCGAAACAATTATTCTTGTACCTTGGTGTTTACACCCTTCAGCTGTCATCTGGCCAACCTTTACATATTTAATGTTCTTACTCGTTCCCATGAAAGTTGTTGGTTTATATTTGATGCAATTATTTTTATTTCATAATTTCATATTTTGACTGTGGTGCTGCTTTTGGTTTCTTAAATAAACAGCAACAGAAACCCTAGTGAGTCTTACATTTTAAGGGTTTCATATGTTAAAAAAAATTGTCTGGAGGTGCTAATCGATTAATTTTATTAATATTAATAATTAGCTAATAGATAAATATCACAATTAGTGGCATATGTAATGTTTACTTAAAGTTATTGAAATAAACTGCAATAAAATGTCATTAGGGTTACAACATAAATTAACATTTGTATATACACTGCACATGAAGGCTGCAGTGCAATCTTTATCTTTTGTCAGTGGGCTTAGATATTGTAGAACATATGGTGTCAAATTAGCCGCTGTTCTCAAAGGCAAGATTCTGATCTCAGTTACCCTGGTTTAAATCTGGACCAACTGAGATCAAAATTTGGCCTAGAGTGGCTCTAGAGACCCATATTTACCTTGTCATAGTAATTAGTTGGAAGAGGGTGAGCTAAAGCATACTGTGCAACCATCATTACGTTAATGGTTATATGTCTTAAATATAATTATAGCTAATAATGTTAAAATCAGCCAAGAAGTTAAGGTTAATGGTTCATTCACATTCATTCGAACAGGTATCAGCAATGTAGGAAGAGTATGTGTGCAATAAAGCTTCGTACAAAACATCCTTTCATTACAGTTGTAAAAACAAACCAACCTCCCCCTGCTGTGTGTGCTTAGAACTAGTGTTTTTAATTGTCAAATATTAACTAATTTAAAATATTTTTACCTTGCTTAAAGTATTGACACTTGTTCACATTCAGAACTATCTGCACACTTTTTCTTATTGTTAGATTTAAGCCATTTTGGCATGGAGTTTAGTGCCTCCAAGCCCCCTCCTGTTCCCTCAAAAATGCAGTTTAATGCTATTTTATACTGTAATTAAAAACTGCTTAAAGGAGTAAAACAATTTCTGCAATAACAAAACCAGAAAATGCATTTGGAGGGATAACATACGCTAAGCTTGCCTCATGCCATTTTTTAAATGATTAAGATACTGCATGAGAAAATGCTGTGCTAACTACACTGCTATGATAATGATCCTGCTGTAGCTTAAAAGGGGTCTTCATGCAGTATTACAAGATGAAAAGCTTTGATAGGTTGAAAGTAGTCATTTATAACTGTTAATTTTTGCTGCTGCAATTCCCACCCACTCACTCACCCATGAAATCCACTCTCAGAATGATTTCCTATCCTGAGTTCATGGGAATTACAAACAAGGCTGTCTGTTTCCATGTGATGGCTTATGATGAAAATTAAGCAAAAAAGTGTGGGTGAGAGGAGGAGAGAGAAAAGGAACAATTTTGTCAATTTCTTATTCGTAACAAAAGTTTCAGGAAAATATTAGAAACACTAGAAACTGGAGTCCTGGGTACTGTAAATAATGATGCTAGATTTGTAACGTTAGTTTCTTTTAGCATTTTGTTATTCTTGAAAGACGTTTTGTAGATCACTGCAACTCTCTACTAGTTCAGCTTTAGACCTTTACCTTTTTAGATTGAGCTTTGCTATATTAAGGTCTGTTGCACATGGCTTTCTAGTGCTTCATTTACAACATGCTCCTCTGAAACAGCTTCTGAGTATGTGAGTGGCATTGATGCACATCTTTGTCTGCTTGACGATCAGTTATGTGTATCGATATCCTAGCAGGAAAGAGATAGAAGGGTCCTGAATGTGTGCGTAGTATGGTCCAGAGCAGTCCAGCCGTCAGAACCTTATCTGAAAACCAGTTTAGTCAATAATGGGAATCTTCACTTAATGATATTTAGAACTTGTGATACTACTACTAATAAAAATTGGAGGAAAAATGAGGCCACGAGAACTCTAGATAAATTTAGACTCAAAGTGAATTATATTCCTCTCAGTGAAGGAGTAGGGATGTGGGAAATCTGCCTGTATTTGTTCAGCTGTTGCAGAGATCTGAAGTGCACATACTGTACATGCTTTAATTCAAGGCAGAATGACAATATACTGTGGTGTTTAGTCAATTCCCTCAACATCAGAAAAGTATATAAATCAAGTGACTTGAAAAACTTGTTTTAATATATTTAGAATTGATTAAAATGACCATTTGGCGGTTTGAACGTTGGTATTCTTGGAAAAGCACTTCCTTCTATGCCAAGTTTTGGATGCCGGCAGAAGAGGACAAAGCTCAGCTCGCTAATTGAAGGGCAGAATGTTTCCTAAATCTCCCTCTTGTTCTGAAGTATCCTGTTAATGCAGATATTCCTGCACACCAGTCAAAAACTATTAGCCAGTGTTACCATAGAGCACCGAAAACTATGTAACCATAATCTTTGTCAAATCGTGTAACTCTTTCATCTTCCCCTCCTCTCCTTTTTTGCTACTTAACATCCAAACACAAAACTGTTAACGTCAGCACGTGGAAGAGGGAACGAACAAGATTACTGTTCCAGCAGGGGTTATTTCTTCACTTTAGTAGTAAGGTAGATGCAATTCTTCATCATCTTTTCATTCTCTTCTGTTCTTACAGTGAATCCTGCACATTCCTCTTTTGGCTGATGCTTCCCAGAATGTTGCTCCATAAAGTTCCAAAGGAGATCTTGAAAAGGGAAAATTAACCTATTTGAAGGATCCCAGTTTATCCTTGTTACAGTTGTAATAGTTTTTGGCCATCACTGATAGAATATTTTCACTGGTTTATTTGCTGGTGTTCTCCCTTCACACTTGCATTGAACCTTTTGCTCATTTTATAGATTTTGACCAAAATTTCAAACCTTGGTGCTTAAAGTTAGGCTTCTAAATCCATACTTAAATAAAAGTGGTTTGATTTTCAAAGGTTCTGAGCACACATGCAGGTCCCTTGATATCACTGCTTAAATGTCCCAAGCCAGTATTTTTATTTCAAACCTTTAAAGATGTCATGAGGGGAAGGTGGCAGATATATTTTTCTGCACTTTTAAATGAATACTGTCAAGTATTTCTGAACTTTCCATTTGTTTGAGCACACTTAGGAGCATGAAACATTTCTTTCCTCAGTGGTTTTGTTCTGTGACGTTTAAACTTCATTTTACTACTTTGGTCTAGGCTCCATAAGAATCACAGTAAAAACATTGTGACTTCATTTTCTTCTTTATGTAACAGCATCCTTAAAAATGTTAATATAGCTCTGCAAAGAGAGTTTCAGCTCTTTGGTTTTGTCTTCAAACAAATAATGAAACATAGATTACAATCAAAAGAGGATACTGAGAAATAATCATGTTAGTAATTATGGAAAGATCTAATAAAGACTCAGTATTATACTCCTGCAGTAAAATCTGTTTACCTTTGCATCAGCATGAAATGTCTAACCCTGTTGCCCTCACTGTGGTGTGTGACCCAGTGTAAACAGTGTATATATGATCTCATTGTAGCATATTAATGTCTGTTTACAGTGTGTTACTGAATTAGTTGAGATGTGTGTCTTATGTCTGTGCTACAGTAAAGATCAGTTCTATAACAAATATATTGCCCAAGTCCTTAATGTGAGACTGTCACTATAGTACAAAAGGTAACTTTTTATTCTAACAACTTTGGATTTCTTTGTGTAATTCTACTGTATCTTGCAATTCCTTGAGTTTTCAAATGGCATTGACCATAAACATGCTTTGGCTTTTCACCTTGGCTTCATGTTTTATTTGTGTGAGTGTATACACATTATGGACAGTGTTTACAGAAACACACTTTAGAAAGAGGGTCTCTAACTCTTTCATACAGGTATGATACCGACATTGCCTTTTCTTCCAGGTGCCCAGATTATTGATTTGATGATGCTCGTAATAGACGTGACAAAAGGGATGCAGACTCAGTCAGCAGAGTGCTTGGTGATTGGGCAAATTGCCTGCCAGAAGATGGTGGTGGTTCTGAACAAAATAGACCTTCTTCCAGAGGGAAAGAGACAAGCTGCCATTGAGAAGATGATGAAGAAAATGCAGAAGACTCTGGAAAATACAAAGTAAGTTACCAAAGATGTTCTTCTAATGTAACAAAGCTTTTTGTACACCTACCTACCTCTCAGAGATGCTTTCACATACACCTTGGTTAGACCAGACACTGGCATAAAGAGATCTATGTACGGATGCATAGAAAGGGGTAAAGGTGTGTTCCCCTCCTTCCTCCCCCTACCCCCCCGACCCCCAAGAAATTCAAACTCTGTCTTAAATTTTGTATCTGATCCCTGAGCAAGATTTTTAAAAGTGACTTTCGGTTGCTGTGATTTTTGGTGCCCAGTTTGAGACAACTCCAGAGGGTAGTTGCTCAAGTGGCTAGCACTGATCATAGCTAGTTGACATATTTTTAAATACAACTGTTTCTATCTACACTAGGTGCTAAGTGGTGTTTTAAAATGTGCCATTTGACGTATGTTAGTTGACACACCTCAGTTTCTCGGTGTAGACAAGAACTTTGTGAGTTCTGTGCTATTCTTTTGTGTTAATTTGCTGCACTCCCCTGCTGTGTGCTCCAGCTGCTCACTGTAGTCATTAAAGGTCTCATGGTGGCTGCTTTGTTCCTAAGGCCATGTCAACAATAAGGGGACTATAGAAGCATAGCTAAGGTGCTGTAGTTATGCTGGCCTAACCCCATAGTGTAGATTTAGGCTGAGTCTACACTGCCATTTTCAGTGCTAAAACTTTAGTTGTTCAAGAGTGTGAAAAAACATCTCCCTGAGCGGCAAAAGTTTTAGCGCTGAAAAGTGCCTGTATAGACAGCGCTTTATCTCTGGGAGCTGTGCCCATTTGGGGTGGTTATTTTTTTTATCACCGGGAGAGCTCTCCCCCGACAATAAAGCATGACTACACTGCCCATGTCACAGTGCTGTTGCATCCGCGCTGTAACATGGGCAATGTAGACATACCCTCAGACTACTAGGACAAAAAGGATTTTTCTGTTGCTGTAGGAACACAACCTTTGAGCAGACATGCCAAACCCGGAAAAAAAGCTCAGAAATTGGGCTTGTTTTTGGCTTAATTGGCTTGCGTGTTGCTTGTTGGCTAGTTTTTGCCTTGTAGCTTGTTGTTGGTTGTAGGTTGTTGCATCTTTTTTTTTATCGGCTCCCAGCAAGTCAGAGGTAAGGTGGAGAGAGAGCCAGGTGTGCACAGCGGGCCCACCCACAGTCCCAGACTGCACGCTGGGGGGATCTAGTCACATAGAGTGTTGGGGTTCTTAGGGATTGGCTTGTTTTGGCCTTATTTTGAAATGGGATTAGCTTGATTTTTGGCTTGTTGTTAAAGTCAGGGTGCTTATTTACCGCGTGAAAGTTGGCAATGGTGCCTTTGAGTGATGGTAGATACTTTGATGGACGCATTCATCTGTTGACCTAGCTGCATCTACAATGGGGTCAGGTCGGCATAACTACATTGTTCAGGTGTATGGATTTTTCACACCCCTGGGCACTATAAGCCCTTGCTCTAAATTTTAATTGTAGAGTCAGCTTCAGTGTAGTGCTGTGAGAAGCAAACCAGAATTAAGATACTTAATCAATTTAAAGGCTCCCTTCGAATTCAGCTCAGATGAAACAACAGAAGTGAAATCTCCTGGTTTTAAAAAAAAAAAAAATCTGCCCTTTGGTTTATGGGGTTGTAACACTTCCTGCAATCCGGGAATCTTGTCAGCTGCAGAGAGAGGGAGGAGAAATTAGGGTTTTTCCTGAATTGAAGGTGAGAAGTGTGATTGGTCTTAATGGGAAAAGAACAGTGTGATGGATGGCTTAATTGAGAATATGGAAGATGCATTTGAGATTGGGATTGTCAGTTTGGTACAATAAAAATAATACTTTTGAATTAAGTAACGTGTGTTGAGTGTTTTGAGCTCCTCGAATACAAGTGCAGCCTCTCAACTCCCCTAGGGGTAAGGCTGCAAGATACTATCTCCTTTTTATAGATTAGGAAATTGAAGTACAGATGGGTGAAGTGTTTTGTCCAGGGTCATGCTGTGGAAAGAATTCTGACTTATACTTACCTAGCTGCTAAATCACATTTGTTCCCAACGGCAGGCGTAAGAGCAGAAGTAGAGTGGGCATTTGAAGGTAAGGATTTTACCAGTGCTAGAGGAGCCAGTGGAGCTTCGTTGTGTAAGTCACCTCATATTTAAGTTATTTTTAATGGCAGATTAGTGGCCCCGTGCAGCTGAACAATCTGAAAATCTTACTTTTTATCAACTTCTCTGTTCTTTAGTCTGTTTCCTTTTGATCAGTACAGCATAGAGTTCACTAGAGTGAAGTTTCCTCTTGTGTACATAGTACAGAGACAAAATTCTGCAACTTGTGACTCTCCTTCATAGTTGTTGATGGAGAGCCAACGAATATAAAGCAACTTGTTTTCCCCTGTCATGTAGATTGAGAAACTCTCCATTTTTATTACTTTTTATGAGTGCAGATACCTGTAACTTGGTCTGAGATTGCTTAAACTTTTTAAATCCCCATCTCTATCACACCAAATATATATATGAGGTTTTTTTTAGCTGTGCCTTTTAGTTAATAAAATTCATTCATCAGATAAAATGATCACACTTACATGGCTGTTCCATAAGAATTCAGATTTGTTATTCACAGCTGAAGTGGCCATCAGACTGCAAAAATGAACAACTTAAACATAAAGGTTTAATTTTATCTCATAGTTTTTCTACAATTTTATTTACTTGCTGGAAAGGTTGACCCACTGCACATCTCTTATCTTGAAACAGAAATGAAAATAATATTTCAATTTTTACATATTTCTTATCGGAGAAACAGTTCTATTTGGTACAAATAAGTTAAATTTTGAGAAAGTAATGATTTATAATCGTTCATCTTTGCAAAAAGAAAAGGAGTACTTGTGGCACCTTAGAGACTAACCAATTTATTTGAGCATAAGCTTTTGTGAGCTACAGCTCACTTCATCGGATGCATACTGTGGAATGTGTAGAAGATCTTTTTATATACACACAAAGCATGAAAAAATACCTCCTCCCATCCCACTCTCCTGCTGGTAATAGCTTATCTAAAGATAGCAGGAGAGTGGGGTGGGAGAAGGTATTTTTTCATGCTTTGTGTGTATATAAAAAGATCTTCTACACTTTCCACAGTATGCATCCAATGAAGTGAGCTGTAGCTCACGAAAGCTTATGCTCAAATAAATTGGTTAGTCTCTAAGGTGCCACAAGTACTCCTTTTCTTTTTGAGAATACAGATTAACCCGGCTGTTACTCTGAAACCCATCTTTGCAAACTAGTCAAAGGCTAGCAAAATGGCAAAATAGAGGTTCATTTTATTTTGCCTGAATGGAGATCATTACTCCTGCATGGCACTCTGGTCATAGGTTAAAGTTTGAGAACATACTACAAATAAAGAGGAAAAAATACTTTTATAGTGACCTATTGTATGAGGATCAACACCTAATTGTCTGTGGAGTTTGGTTGTGGTCATACCTATATTCAGAAAGCTAAAATTATAAATATATTGGAAGGAAACTAGAGTGTCTTCTCATGGGTTCTTCTCTGCACTGAACGCACATATACCCTCTGAACACAATCCTTTCTTAAGAGCTGGGGAACACAAATAGGCCTTGCAGAGCATACCCTGAAAGTTGGCTGATATTATCAAACTAAGGGGGAACTGAGTTCTAGAGTGAAACCTCTTACCTGCAGATGCTCTGTCTCCACCCCCTTGCTGTTTAAGAAAAGGTCCTCAGCTGATCTGAACTGCTCTGGTTCTCCATGGAGATAGATGGTCTTTCATAATGTTTTAGTTGAAGTCATTTGAACTTCAGATCCCAGGGATGCTCGTATATCAGATGTCTGTTGTCTTTCCCACCCATAAAAGATTCAGCATTCGGACATCAGATCTGTTGTTTGTGAATTTTTAAAAGCATTGCTGACCTGGGCTTGTCCTAAAGTGCCAGCCCCACTGTGCAGCAGACATACTTTATTTCCTGACAGCCTCTTTCCCATAATCAACTCTGTGCTATCAAACACAGACAATTTAAGCTGGTTTTGCATTTCCAAATGACTCTTACTTATGGGACACCACTGAGACCATTTGGCAGCCTGCCTTCTACCTCACATACTCATCTATAGTTACTGGGGGAAACCTCAGTTACTAAAATAGTGGTTCTGTCCATGCTATGGGTAAAGCCCTGTATCAACAACCAAATATAAAGTGTGGTTGCTTGTAAGGTTGCAACTATAGAGGGGACAGTGCTATAGACCCTGACAACAACAGATTACAGCTGCTGCCATATGACTTCAGTGCAATGGAGAAAGAGAAGAGGGATGGTAAGAATAGCTCTGTCATCCTTCTGCAGGTTTGGTGCTTTCAGAATTTGGCCTCATTTACAGTTGACCGTTCTGCAGATTGGCACCTAAAATCAATCAAAGCAAAAATATTTCACACCAGAAATCAAAATTAGTGTTGTGTTTTTGTCTAGGTTCCTTGTCCGCACTAGCTTTTCTCTTTGTTTGGTGGAGACTAAGACACCACTTGCAATACGTTATTTGTGGTGGAGTAAAGTAGTTCTGATAGGGTCTCCTTATATTTGAATGTATTTCTAAAAGCAGCATGTGACGCCTCTAGCTTATGTTACATGGTGTTCTTGTGGAAAGAATGAGACACCTGGTTCAGCATTAATTTGTTTATTGCCCAAAAGTGTTTGGATAAAAATAACTGAATTTCCAAAAGCTTTATGGTTAATGGCTGGAATTCTCGGTGCATAATTTGATCATCCTTTGTCCCTGGGAGCCTCAGGCGTATGGCACATAAACAGAGAAAGTACCTTGTATACTGGATTAGTGTTTGATGACTTCTGCAGAGGGAGCACATTTAGTGATCGTTCTCTCTGTATCAGTGAGCTGTCTTTTCCCCCCTAGTTCTTGCCTTTTGAGATGAAAATCTAAAAGTTTAAGTTGGGAGAGGAGGAGAGCAAAAGGGATCCCATTCACTCTGATTTTGTGACCTGTCTCAATTGTACAGTAATTGAGTATTTATAAGAACTGAACACTTCCAGTATGTGAAGGTTTTTTCCTGCTCTTCTGCTTTTATCATATTTTACTGGCCATTGTGACTGTGTGGGGGTTGTTTTGGCTTTTTAAAAAGACTCTGGCCTATTTAAGGCCCTAGTCCTTAGGCAGGCAGGTTTTAATTTTGGTTCCTTTCAGAAGTTTTAAAAAAAATTAATTGTCAAAATGAGTTATTAGATGAGATAAACCAATAGTTTGCATCTCACAAAAGGTATAATATTACAGATTCTTTTAGCTGTTAAGAAGAGCTCTATACATTACAGGGTCAAAGAATAAAATTGGTTACAAAAGGAAGTCTTAAACTCCAGGATTGAACTGGATGACTTAGTGGTCTTCTTTTAAGCTTTTCTCACTTGAGATGGCAAAACAAGGTGCCTGTTAAACAACCACTTACCTCTTCTTTCTAAAAAGAAAAGGAGTACTTGTGGCACCTTAAATACTAACAAATTTATTTGAGCATAAGCTTTCGTGAGCTACAGCTCACTTCATCGGATGCATTCAGTGGAAAATACAGTGGGGAGATTTATATACATAGAGAACATGAAACAATGGGTATTACCATACACACTGTAATGAGAGTTTTAGAGTAGCAGCTGTGTTAGTCTGTATTTGCAAAAGAAAAGGAGTACTTGTGGCACCTTAGAGACTAACAAATTTATTTGAGCACAAGCTTTCGTGAGCTACAGCTCACTTCATCGGATGCATAGATATGTGGACACAGTTGGCAATGGGCTTTGTTGCAAGGATAGGTTCCTGGGTTAGTGGTTCTGTTGTGTGGTTGCTGGTGAGTATTTGCAAATACATATCTATTCAGGGAACACCATCATAGGGCCTAATCACATAAGCCACACTATCAGAGGCTCGTTCACCTGCACATCTACCAATGTGATATATATCATCATGTGCCAGCAATGCCCCTCTGCCATGTACATTGGTCAAACTGGACAGTCTCTGCGAAAAAGAATAAATGGACACAAATCAGACGTCAAGAATTATAACATTCAAAAACCAGTCGGAGAACACTTCAATCTTTTTGGTCACTCGATTACAGACCTAAAAGTTGCAATTCTTCAACAAAAAAACTTCAAAAACAGACTCCAACGAGAGACTGCCGAATTGGAATTAATTTGCAAACTGGATACAATTAACTTGGGCTTGAATAAAGACTGGGAAGGGATGGGTCATTACACAAAGTAAAACTATTTCCCCTTGTTTATTCCCCACCCCCATCCCCGTTTCTAAGACGTTCTTGTCAACTGCTGGAAATGGTCCACCTTGATTATCACTACAAAAAGTTTTTCTCTCTCCTCCCCCGTCCCCCGGCTCTCCTGCTGGTAATAGCTCACCTTAAGTGATCACTCTTGTTACAGTGTGTATGGTAACACCCATTGTTTCATGTTCTCTCTCTATATATATAAATTTCCCCACTGTATTTTCCACTGAATGCATCCGATGAAGTGAGCTGTAGCTCATGAAAGCTTCTGCTCAAATAAATTTGTTAGTCTCTAAGGTGCCACAAGTACTCCTTTTCTTTTTGCGAATACAGACTAACACGGCTGCTACTCTGAAACTCTTCTTTCTAGTATGCTTTGATTACCAGTTAAATAGTTAATACTGTTGACATTTCCATTATAATCATTAGGCTTCAGAGTTCACATCCCCATATATGAGTAGAGACAAATCTCAACACTATGGTTTCGTGGTTTCTGTAGACTCAGTCAGACATCACTGCACTGTGTTACATTTGATTCACATTTTGAAGGTTGTCCTTGCAGTTATGACAGTTAGAGGGTTGTTTTGTTTTTTTTTTTTAACGAAAGTTTAGAATCTGGAGCACAAGATGGGAACCCTCCAGGAAGAAAGGTCCAGCTTACTGAGCCCTCCACAAGCTGGCCCAGTTTGACTCCTGCTTAAACTATAGCCTTCTGAGGCAAGCTGTAATCTTATTATTAGGGAAGTCAGACCAGAAACTACAATGAAGTAAAATTAATTGTTAAAGATTCAGTAGTAAATTCAGAGGCACAAATAATAATACATTCTCAGAAGCTGTCAATAATTCATTATTGCAGGACTAGATAAATCAATGTCAAAGGCCATTTCCTCATATGGATTGTCAGATGAGCTTTTATTACCATGTTCTACTTGCAAGTGCAGGGGACTTGTGGTCTTATGGTGGGAAGCTCTTTTTCTCTTTTAGGTTCCAAGGGTGTCCTATTGCTGCTGTTGCAGCTAAGCCTGGTGGACCAGAAGCCCCAGAGACTGTGAATCCACTAGGTGTTTCTGAACTAATTGAGGTAAATGTAATGAAAAAGCAAAACACTGTAAAATATGGCCCAGTTTCTTAAGTTCTTTGGTGTTTCTGTAATAATGTTTAATTCTAATGAATTTATGTGATATTAATGTGGGGCGTTCTAAGCACTTCTTTAGGAATCCATTCTAATTGAACAAACAAGTCAAGGCTGCTTGTCCCAAAAGGTGAATTGTTGTATCAGATTTTTTTCAGCAGCCCAGTGCCCATGAGTGAAGAACTGCCGTAAAGAACTAACATGCTCAGCCCCAGTGGCAGTAACCAGCCACTAAGAAACTAGTACATGTTCAGTGGTGGAAGATTTTTGTTATGGTTAAGCAAAGAAGTTTCTTGTAAAATTGTGAGGGATTGTTAGGAGTAGTCAGTAAAATTAGTTTTAAAATTCTGCCATATCCCTGGAGAGTATCTTTTTATAATTACAGAAACAACTAAGTTTAACACCCTCTCCCTCCCACCCCCAAACATTAAGGTTGTAAACGCAATCACTCAGAAGTTAGGAAATTTAGACAATCTTAGTTTGGCTCCCTTTGGTGTATCCATTATGATACAGTCATTAATTACATGATCAATTTTTTTTTCCACATGAGCACTGCCTCGTTCAGTGTGCAGGATGGATGGTACTCAGTTAACGAGCAGCATTTGAATATTTTATTTTCTCATCATTGTTCCATGTTCCTTATTTACTGGGCATTATTCAAACTTTGTTCTGACTACAGAATTATTCATTTCCTCATAGATTTTTCAAGGCACTTATCACTCTAGCATTTGAGTGCTTCACAGACATTAATGAATTTATTTTCACAACACCTTTGTGAGATGAGGGGGTAGTATTATTCCCATTTTATATATGGGGAGCTGAGGTTTAGAGAGATTAACTGTCTGCTGATTTTGGGTGCCCAATTTGAGATGTCTATAACCTGATTTTTCAGAGTACTTAGCATTATATAGCATTTCATATGTTCATATCATTCGATCTCTCTCTCTCTCGTGCACACACACACACGCGCGCACCCCCCCCCAGCTGTGGAAAGCTTGGTTAAAGAGACTTGCCTAGTATTACATAGGAACTCTATGACAGAGGCAGGGATAGAATCCAGTTGTCCAGGGCAACATAAAACTGCCTTAACCATGAGACCATCCTTTCTCTTCCTGCACTCCCCTGCCTCCTTTACTACACACTTTCCAACTTCTTCAACAAATGAGGTTGGGGTCATACAGACAACAGCCTCCTTCGCTACACCATGCTAATTCATTCCCACAGCACGGTCCTTTGTATGGCACTGAATGAGGTAGGGATTCTATTATAAAAATATTTGATCATGCAGTTAAAGACTGTATATAATGGATATGCAGAAGGGGGCTGAATTTAAGGCTGCACAGGAAACCTTAGTTTTGTCATTTTTCTAACTTTTGAGTGCTTGACTTTGCAACCTTAATAATGTTTTTTGACATTACTTTTTGTGAAGTTTCCCAGGTTTTTAAAAAAGCAGACTAAAAAACCCAAATTCCATTATATATTGTAATCTACATGGGTCATCAGCAGTGTTTGGAACCCTTTGATCCATCTCACAGATTTCTGCCACTTGAGCTAATGGAGTAACTGGTAGCAATAATAGGTTGTCATTTTATGTGGACCAGCCCTGTGGAAATAAGGCACCCATTTTGCCAGTGGGTTTCCCAGCTATTTGCTGACGGCAGAGGAATGGTGAGCCTTGGGAATTTTGAGTTCCTCCATCCCCTTTAACCTGTTGCCTGTTTCCATCCTAGTCCCGTCTCTTCCTTTCCCCTTGCTCCTCATTCCAGTCCTGTTCTCTTTGTGTTCCCAGTCTTAAGTCCTCAGGCTTCTCATCCTAGTTCTGGTCTCCTTGAGCAGCTAGTCTTAGTTTCCCTCTCCAGGCTCTTTACAGCCAAGTCCCAATCTCACCCTTCCCCCAGTTTCTCTCTGTCTGTTTCCCATCCCTCGTCCCAGTCTTCTTCTCACCCAAGCCCTCTTGCTTCTTGTCATATCTGGGTCCTCATCCTTTCTCTTCTGCCCCTTTCCCTCATTCACTGGTTCACAATCCCAGTCTCTTTACCCAATATGTCCTAGTGCCCCCTAACCCTGCCAGTTCTAGTCTCACTAGGTTCCGTGTCCCAATCTGTTTTTCCCTCTCCCCACCCCAGTTTTTGTCCCCTCTGTATTTGGGTCAGGTGGTTTTCTCCTCCATGCTGGCTGGATGCCAGGGGGGCATTATTAATAGTACAGAAGAGTCAGGCTTCTTTCTGGCAGTTCTGGTGCCTGCCTATACCCTAGCAGGGAGTTGCAATTACAGGAGAGTCCAGCTTTGCCCCTGTAGGCCTAGGCTTGAGCATGCTCATTTACTCTGCGGGCATGACACGTGCGCAGTCCAGGCATATGTAGGAGCTGTGAGGGGAATTTTAGCTGCTAAACTCTAAAGTCTTCTCAGCATATTTTTGAAGCTTATAATGTGACCAAATATGAATGGATTTTCACATGGACAACAAAAGGCACATCCCTGGCATATAGGCTACCCCCTGCCAAATTTCACATCCCTGCTCCCAAGTGGGAGATGTTAAAACTTTTCAAAGAAAATGTTGCCAGGATTTTTTTAAATGGCAAAACAATATAGTTTTTCCTAACCTAATTCTTGGAAATGGCTGAACTGTTTTAGCTGAAACTTCCCAAAGAAATTCAGCCTGAGGCAGACACCCAGCATGTAAAATTTCAGCCCAAACAGTTAATTTGGCAAAGTTGGAAGCAACTGAACACATCATATTGTAATGGGAAGTGTCGGACAATCTTTATAGGTGGTTCTACCACCCATCTACAATAAACTGGACTGTTATTTTAGTGTGTTACTAGATTCTTATCATGTCAGAGTGTGGGGTGTGCAGTACATTGGGTTGCTCACTGTGGATATCTGGTTCAAATACTGGGTAACAAGAAACAGTGGGTTTGATGTTAAATCCTTGTTGCTAGGACACATATCTACACGTCAAAACAATTCTATAATTTAGCACAACTTTCAGTTTCTGCTCAAGGGAATCCCAGTACTGTAAGAGTACACAAGTTCTGTGCAAACACTGCCATTGTTCCTCAGTATTTCATCCCTACAATTTTAGTTCTGGACCTATCTCCCACTCTTCTACCATAGCATCTCAGTCTTGACCCGCTGTTCCTGTCCTATGCCTTTTTATGAGCAGACACTGACAGTTGTACCAAATTGAAAGGGTATTTTTGTAATTCTCTCAACTGGGGACTAGGATTGAGATGTGAACCAGGTCCCTGACCCACTGCTGGCCACACTATTGCAGCCCATGATAATTAAGGTTTTTTCATCTTGCTGTCGTATTTTAACAAACAAAATGCAATGAAATCCTAGCCTGGTTAAGCTTGTCCTAAGCTTAATAAAGATGGTGCTTTTGAGAGAGGGAGAGCGATGAAAATAGTGTATTCCTTCAAGAAATGTCAACATAAATCCTAAGTCAGTCTCATTTAAATTCTCTTGTCTTATTCCAATACAATATTTCTTATGAGATAGAGGCAGGGATGAGTTTTCTGAGGCATTTTAAGATTACATATATAGCGAACTCTCCTCCTTCAAATCTGAGACGCTATAGTGGTAAAATGCGCTTTAAAATGGCCCTGGCATTTATTTTTAATCTAAGGAGTGCAGGGTTTTTCATTCTCTTTTGCCACAGTGTTTCTGTTTAGTTTCACAGGAGTTTTATCTCTAGCACAGGTTTGCTAGCCAAGCTGAATGCGCAGTACCAAATCTTTCTATGGCAGAAAATCAACCCCCTCTTGCTGCTGCTAAGTGTGCATCTCCTCTGTAACGTTTACAGTTTATTTGACATTGGTCTATTTCAGGGTTGTTGTGGGACTCTTGAAGTCAGTAAAACTACAAGTTTATTGAATCCGTCATCTCTTTTTGCATCACACCTGTCATGGCGTTTTCACCAAGACACGGTACTTCTTTTGTCTATCTTTCAGGTCCTGAAATCTCAGGCTTACCTGCCAACAAGAGACCCCACGGGACCCTTCCTTATGGCCATCGACCACTGTTTCTCCATCAAGGGTCAAGGCACGGTGATGACAGGGACTGTTCTTTCTGGCTCCGTGAGCCTAGGTGATAATGTGGAGATTCCTGCCCTGAAGGTGAGTTTTCTCTGTCACCCAGCCCCACGAGACTGAGAGAGGCTCAACAAGGAACAGCATATTCTTCTCTGTTTCTTAGTTTGTTGATTTATTTGTTAACTTCTTTATTTTCCTGTTGTGCTGCTTTAGCCCAAGCTGAGCAGGCAAGGATGATAGAAACTCAGTCATTTGGGATAGAGCGTAACTTGTAACATGGCATTGTCCAGTGGCTTATAGAAAGTCATTAGCAAGGGAAATGGAAGCCTGAAGGTGAGACTTAAAGAGAGGAGGCCCTGGAAAGAGAAGTTTTAAATAGACTGGGCAGCCAAAAAGAGTGGAAACCTCTCCCCCCCCCAACCTCTTCCAAGTTCCAATTCACAGATGTTGGTTAGAATGCTCTGCCTCTGGTCTTATAGTTAACTAAGAGAAGTGAGCCAGGACTTAAGCATTCTGCAGCTGCTGATTTAAATGGACCTATCTAGTTGCACATTAACAACAGCCTTCCTTTGGCTGAAGAAACCTGGAATGGGACTCCTTTTGGAGGTCATCAACACAACTCCTAGGTTAGAGGATATCACTGCAGAAGTGCTATGAGGAGCTCACACCCGCACAGACGGAGCATGCTGCTTTCTCAGTTCTCCCCAGGCATTCTGGTCCAGTGAGGGACTGGGCAAGGAGTTCTGATCTTTAGTGGTAGACCAGAACACTATTTTAAATAGTATCTTTCCTATAAACTGTCTCTGCTAACCTAGTTATGCAATAGAGTTATAGGGATATAATAAATAACACAGAGAGAGTGAGCTATTAAGAGGGGGAGCTGAGTGAATAGTAGGAGGAAATAATTCCACAAATTATTTCTTCATGTTCAGAAATGAAACGTAATTTGTTAGTGACCCTTTCATATTTACTTGGCATATTTTACTGCACAATCTTTTTCTAGTCCAAATGCTTGCTAAGAATTTATACATAGTTTGGCTATTTGTCAAAAATGAATGTTGAATTGTATATTTTTCCTTAAATTTACAGTTTGTGCTGTGCTGATTGAAGAACAGTTCAAATTACAAATTTTACAATTGAATATACACATTGATATATTTGATTGTAAGACTTGCAATTTGGATGAACTACAGGCCAAGAATTATTGGCTCAAGAATCTTGAGAATAATTTTGGATGAATGCATTTGAGAATTATGTGCTCTGTTTGTGACAATATGTAAACAAAAAAGGCAAAGTGTATTGAATAATTTAAGTATTGCAGATTATTTTCCTCATATTTATTAGGTGAAATAGGAAAGAGATAATTTAAAATGAGATTTGGAAAGAGATGAAGTCTGTTCTGCAGGGATGTAAGGGGAAGGAATCTTTTCCACACATGAGGAGCTGCAGAGGAGGTGGCTTTTGCACCAACTATGGTGAGATTGTGGGGAGAAAATGAAGTTAGGGAAGGAGAAGACAAAACAGTTTACATATACGGCATATAGCAAAGTACATATTAGGCTTAGCACTTTACAAACACTGATGAATTAATCCTCTTACTAGCTTGCTTAGGTAAAGCTTCATGAAGGCAGAACCTCTCTCTTCTTATTCTGTAAAGTAATGGGCAGTGTTGGAACTCATATTGTACCATCGACAGGTCATGAGGTAAGTCAGTGATGTTATTTGCGTTTTACAGAGAGGGGAACTGAGGCACAGAAAAGAGAGGCAACTCATCCTGTGCCTTGCTTGTCCCACACAGAGTTGGGCTAGTATCCCTACTAAAGGTGAAAACTTTCGCAGGCCTACAAGGTAATGGAGGAAGCACATTTCACAGCACACTGTGGTTTACTGACCTTTCTTTGCCCCGACCCTATGATAACTGAGATTGACAGTTGGTGCCCACTGGGCATTTGGGGACATTGCAAACCAGCTGCTTTTTTAAATTTGAGGAACCCTCTCACCAAAAAAAGTGGCATCACTTTCTAATTCTACTAATGGACTTCGACATCTCTGACCGCTTGAACCTGCACAAAGGAGGGACACAGCAATTAAAAATAAACAGTGACATTCTCCAACGCCCATGCTTTCTCTGATTGAGGCTGAGAATGCCAACAGCGTATGGATTCCTTTACCTACTAAAGTGCCTATGTAAATTGCCATCTGGGGTTGATTATACCGCAAAGAGAAAAATTATATGTATGTGTTTGGCAAAAAGCTTTGACACAGCAAACTATTCTCTATCCAGGCAATTTAGTACCATTTGTTTTATAGCATTTGATTCACTTTGAAGAGCATGAACCTAGGATTTCTGCTGTGAAAACATAATATTGGCAGAATGCTGATTCTGAATCCTTTGGGATTACTCCAGTGGTCTCTAAAATCCACCTCCTCCCAGTTTACAAATTGCATTTGTTTATATAATGTGACATTTCTGCTACTACCTTTATAAAAACAGGTTCTGGGGCTGGGTAGTGAGGTTCTTATTTGTAATTATCCATTCACTTTAGGACTGATGTCAGTCAGTAAAACATATGTTTTGACATATTGTTGTAAGTATACTTTACTATGAGAATTTAGGTTAAAGCGAAGGGATGGTTACAAATTCAAGATTTCAATACTACTAATACTTAGGCTTGTGTACAGCAGTGGTTTTCAAACTGCAGGTCACAACCCAGTACCGTGTCACGGAATGTAAGGCACTGGGTCACGGCGGCTCTGGTCAGCACTGCTGACTGGGCTGTTAAAAGTCCTGTCGGCAGTGCTTCCCGGCTAAAGCAGGTTAGTCCCTCCCTGTTCCGACACTGCACTGTGCCCTGGAAGCAGCCAGCAGCAGGTTTGGCTCCTAGGTGGGGGCGCCATGAGGCTCTGTGCGCTGCCTTCGCCCCGAGCACTGGCTCTGCACTCCCGGCCATTGGGAGGTGGGCGAGAGGGGCGCGGTGCCTGCGGACGAGTCTCATGGAACCATTTGTGTGCTTCTGCCTAGGAGCCGGACCTGCTGCTGACTGCGTCCAGGGCACAGCCCATCCCAGAACCCTGACCCCCTCCCACACCCCAACCCCCTTCCCCAGCCCAAAGCTCCCTCCCACATCCTGAACCACTCATTCCCGGCCCCACCCTGCAGCCCTCACCCTTGCACCTCAACTCTCTGCCTCAGCCCTGAGCCCTTCCCACACCCCAAAACCCTCACCCCCAGCTCAGTTGGGTCATGGGCATCAACAATTTTCTTCAACTGGGTCTTCAGAAAAAAAAGTTTGAAAACGACTGGTGTACAGAACCATTTCATTTAGTTCGCAGCAAGCTGGTGTGTGACTCTACCCTTCACTAGCCTGCCATGTGCAACCTAAATGTTGATATAGAAAAGTCCTTAGTCTTTGTTTAGCATATTCTAGTTAATAAATTGTGAAGTGCTTTTATAAAGGTGGGTGAGTATCCTTAGCCTCACTGTACTGATGGGAAAACTGAGGCATGCTGTGGTTTTTATGTGCCCAGGGTCAAACGTGAGGAAGAGCAGACCCAGGAAAAGAACTCACATCTCTTGTTTTCCATCTCTGGGCCTTGGACCTCAGCTGTCTTCAGCAGTCTTTTGAAAGAACACTGTCAAATAGTTTAGGCCCAACTTTTAGCTTTGTATTTCATAATTATTTAAATTTAATGGAAATATTTTTCTTTTTTTGCAACTTCCCCATGTAGCAGTGGGTTAGTTCAGGAGAATTAGAAAGTGAAAATTACTATGAGCTGTCTAAACTGTAAGCACTGATGAGTCTAATTTCAATGTTTAAGCTAAACTAAAGGCAAAAAGAAAACAGAGAAATTTTGCAAATTATATTGGTTTTTAATTTTTTTCAGTGTTGTTAATCTTAAGGCTTTGGTTAGATTCAACAGTTACAGGCTCAATGGAAATCCTGCTGAGAAAGTAACATAGATAAGGTAATTTGTCAAGATAAGGAAGATACTGTTTTAATATCCCTTTTAAAGTGAACTTGGTTGGAGGCAGGGAGGTGTTCCAGTAAAGGCATTATGAACCACTTTCTCTCCCTTTGCCCCTAAGTTGTGAAGAGCCCCCACAAAGGGCCAGAGAGGAGGACAAGTCAGGAGTGCAGTGGGTAGACAAGGGAGTGTACAGGAAGTGGATACAAGGTCAAAGAGGTAAGACAAGGTGAATTCATGGAGAGTGTTAGTCCCAAGCAAAGTGGGTTTGGTCTCAAACAATCAGTAACATTTATGCTCCTTGTGAAACCACAGCATGCATCATCTTAGTCCTGCTAAATGTCTGCTTTGCTAAACCACTGCCATTTTATGGGGTTATTGGTGACTATCAATGCAAACTGAATACCTGAGACCTTAGTACCTCCATTAGAGTGTATGTATTAAATTTATAATACTTTGCCATTCTGTGGTGTTTTTCATCTCTGGATCTTGAAATGCTTTGAAATGTTAATTAACTGATCAATTTAATTATTTACCAATGCTTGTACACCAGTATGAGAACGTTTTATTTTCTGTTTGTGAAAACTTAGCAACGTGCCTGGTATGAAGTACTAGAAAGTCTGGAGTCTAAAAAAAAAAAAAAAAGGGGTATCCAAAAGATAGGGCACACTGAGTAAACCAGAGGCCGTGGGGGTAACCATGTAAAAAGTATGTTATGGGTTTAAATAGTGAGAGCTGCTTTTACGAGAAATGCAAGTGAGGGAGAAATGTCCCAGACTTCTCTCTTAATAGAGCTGCGCACTCAGCAAGACATTACGTATTCTGCTGACAGTAGACTGGTGCTTTTCTTTTCTTCTTTTTTCTTTATTACTTTTCTTATTCCTTGTCTAACTCTTCTTATAAGCGTTGAGTAGACCCTTGCTACCAGCGTAGTTCCATTTGATGAGAAGGCTCTTGGACCAACAGCAGTGAGGTAATGCAGAGGGACACAGACGAGGCCAGAACTAGGACCTTGATTCAGAAAAGCATTTAAGCATGTACTTAATTTTAAGCATGTTCTTGAGTCTCCTTGACAGCTTTTGGGAGAGATTGGGACAAGGAGTCTGGACAAGAAGTCT